GTACATGTCTGGTGCTCAGAAATGCTTGTTTGTGGAAAACAGCTTGGCCATTCCTGAAAAAGTTAAACGGAATTACCATTTGACCTTACAGTTTCACTCTTAGATACACAGAAGAATTGGAAACACTATTCAAACAAATATATAGCATAGTAACACTATTCACAACAGGCAATAGGTAGAAAAAGCCCAAATATCTATCAGTGGATGAATAGATAAACAAATTGTGGTATATACCTACAATGAAATATTGTTCAGCCGTAGAAAGGAATGAAGCTCTGATACATGCTACAACATGAATGAGGCTCAAAAACATCTTGCTAAGTGAAAGAAGCCAGGCACAAAAGGTCATATATTGTATGCTTTCATTGATACGAAGTGTTCCGAGTAGATAAATCCATAGAGACATAATGTGAATTGGTGGTTTCCAGGAATAGAGGGAGAGGGGAGAATAGGAAGAAACTGCTTAATGAGTGGTTGGAAATGTTTTGAAACTAGATAGAGGTGGTAGTTGCACAGCATTGCATAATATACTAACTGCCATTTAATTGTTCACTTTAAAATGGTTGATGTTATGTTACATGAATTTTACCTCAAATTATTTTTTTAAATGCTTGATGAATTAAGGAATGTGATCAGTTTGTTTTGAATCCCTGCTGTGTGTAGGTTACTGTGCATAAGACTGCCAATTACTATCTCTGCTAGCTGAGCAAAATGGAGGGAGTGTGAACAACAATGATTAGACTAGAGTATCTGCTGCACTATTTGATTCATATGGGAAAAGAAAAATATTTGATTGACATGGAATATACTTAGAAATAGTTCCTAAAACCTGATGTAATATGAGGGACAGAGCAGAATAAGACAGCTGATGCATATGGAGTCTGTGTGCATGTGACGTTCACTTGTCAAGTTTGGAAATGCTAATCCTTTGGCTGTTTCTTTCCCAGGGGGCTGACTGTGTGTATGATAGAGCTCATTTTACTTACTTTCCTTACTTTACCCTTCTTGTGAATCCTACATCACAGCTGAAATCCTTCCAGCTTGAGGGTGGTGTGGAAGCATTGTAGCACAAAATTGGCTGGAAGTATCACTGTTGAGTGCCATGATCTTTCTTTCTAGAGGAATGAAGGAGGAGAACAATACCAAGAAATTAATCTGAATTCTGTCTCAGCATTTGAATTTATTCATTTACCCCATCAACCAGAAAAGCTTGCACTTCTTCAAAAAAGAACAGATTTCCAATTCTCATCTATTTACCTAATCTCATTCTGCAGGTTTGTTGGGCTCCACAATGATTGTCATATGAAGGCTTTCTGCATTTTGTTAATCAGATACTAGAAAAATTTGGACTATTGTAAATTATAACCAAGTATCCAGATGTGGTGTTTTCCATCCTAACGTATATCCTTTTATATATGTTCTACAAAGTCCACACAGTCATTGTTTTTAAAAAAACAACTTTTGTGTTTCACTCATACTCTCTTTTCAGTCTATATCCCCATATGGTTAACAATTAGCAATGGTTTCTGTATTATAGGCATTTCTGAAAATGGGGAAATATCTAACGGTAAGCCCAGTGTTACTCTGAAATGCAGATTGTTAACTGCTTTTTTGTGTAAATTAATAATGAACAACCAAAATTTCTGTGGTATGTCATCCGTAATATAAATGACAGGAATAAAAGTTCAAAAAGAAACATTTCATTCTTTTAAAAGTATCTGTCTTGAAATAGCTTGATTTTATGTTGAGTCAAATTTATATATGTAATGCAGTATATCACAAAGAATAGAGTAACAGAATGGCATAGTGGTTAAGGCACAGGGTTATGGAATCAGACTTGAACTTGCATCCCTTCTCTGTTATTTGCTGGCTATGTGACCTTCAAGGAGTCATTTAACCTTGATAATCCTCAGTTTATTCATTTATAAAATGACAATGATCAACCGATCTGGTATGATAAACACCTTTAAAAACAGGGCCTTGCATACGGTCAGAGGTGATTATTCTTTGAAGTTTGAGAATAGAAAATATGCAAATTACCTTCTATTTTTTCAGCTGTGAACATTTGGCTGTATTTTTTTCCTTCTTGGTTTGCTTTTCTCTCTAGCTGTTCTCACTGTTGTTTCATTTGATAGGAAACAGTCTTAGAAAGAATTAGCTTGCTAATGAAATGCCCTTTCCTCCTCGAGCTTCTGGAACCTCAGCTTTTGACTTGGTTCTTACATATGTATGCAAATGAAACACTGCAAAGCTGTAGAAGGGATGTAAATAAAACATTGATTTCAATCATCAGATTGTTAGTGTGCTAGAGAAATGTGCCAGACTGCTTTTGACAGAACTAGAACGAAAGGCTTTTTTTTTTTTTAAAGAAGAAAACAGCATGCCAAATACTAATTAATTTTCTGAACATTTCAAGATTCCTACTGAGTGTATATTCCTAAGTCTTTCCATAGAGTTTGTGACCTGAGATTAGTGCCAAGAAGTTGATGATGAGGTCACAAGCATAAAATTTTAGTTTTATGGTAAGATAGTTGGCATGAAACTTTAGGATCTAAGTATAGCTTAGTTACATGAGAAACAAGTGTGTGAAAAACAAGAGAAAGAGAAATGTTGGATATGTTTGCAAAAATTTCCCCAACTCTCATTAAACAAATGCTTTTAGAATGAATGCTTGTAGCAGCACTCTTGTTTCTCTTATATAGCTGTTGTGGGATTGCTGTAGTAATCATTGTGACTGACAGTTCACATCTGGAGACTTGTAAAATCTGCATGTTGATAACCCCCATTTGGCTTTGCCTCATCTTCTGTGATAGAAGCTTGCTGCTTGCCTTTTTCTCTCCCTCAGCAAGGAGATCCTCAGTCTGATGGGTAAAAATGATATCTCTTTATACTTTTATTTTCATTTCTTATATTATTCAATAAATGTTTTAAAAATATGAATGAGTTTCATTTTAATGGAGGCTTGCAGGAGAAGGGAAGAGTGAGCAGATATGACAAGGACTGGAATAAGTGTGGAGGAAAAGAGAGCAAGGGAAAAGGAGAGATAAATTGAGAATTCATGGTAGAATGGCAAAGGTGAAGAGACTGGGGTGTGAAGTTAAGGGTAGGGGAGAATGGGAAGAGAGAACAAGGAAGATTATTTTGAGGTTAGTATCAGTGAGTACATACTTCTGCTCATTTAAGCTTTGAGATTGTGATTGTCACCTGTCATCTACTGCCCTGTCAAAATGTTAATTAATTAATTATGATTAATCAGTTCTAATAACTAGAGGTTTCATTCCAAATAGAGAAATCAGAGCATCTACAAGAATGGAAATTCTGCTACATGCAACAGCAGTCACTAGTGTAAAATTGTATTAAGGTTCAGATTTGTCATCCTCCATGATTAGATGGATTTTTATAATCCCAAGAAAAAGAAATATTTACTGTTTTTGGTTTGAGAGTTTGTTATAAGGATATATGTGCAGAGTACTGGAAGTCACCATAACAGGTTTGTAGTCATTCCTGAGGCAAACACTGGAAAGATGGTTGTTGTTATAGATAAACCAACTTCCTTAAAGTTAGCAGTCCAGCGTGGCTCTCCTCATTCCACTTACTGTGTGTATATTTTCAAGAAAGATAATTTGATTGGGCCAGCTTGCTACTCTGCATTGAGTACCTCTTTTAATGGTAGTTCTGTGAAAACGTCTCAGAGGTGATTTTTTCCCCTTATATTTAACCCATCTACATTGCTTTTACTTGTGCACTTGAAACTTTGTCCAGTCAGCTGTGGCTTGATTTTTTTTTTTTTTAATTCTTTGAACACGTACAAGAAGTCAGATGTGTGCTACATACTGGGAAGTCAGAAGTGAGCAAGATAGGCCCCTGCTCAAATGGAGTTTATAATTTGGCATTATAGTGGTGGTGAGACCGAACATAAACAAGTGAACAAGGTGATTTCAGATGGTGTTGGGTCCAGAGAAAACAATAAATGAGGGTGATGTAATACAACAGTGACTTGGGGAGAGAGTCTGTTTTAGATAGGGTGGTTAAAGTTCTGTCTGAGAAAGTAACACTTTAACTGAGACCTCAGTGAGCTAAGATAGAGGGAGTAGTAAGTACAAAGGCTCTGAAGTTGGATGGATTGGATTTTTTGGAAACTTTGTATTATGAAAATTTTCAAACATATACACTCATCACCAGTTTTAACAATTAGCAACTTGTAGCCTATCTTGTTTTATTGATGAACCTTTCCACCCTATTCTACCCACATATTATTTTAGCATCATGTTATTTTCTAGACATAGAATTTTATCTAAAAATATTTCAACATGCATGCCTAAAAGATAAGGACTTTAATTTTTATTTTATTTTATTTTATTTGAGACAGAGTCTCACTCTGTTGCCCATGCTGGAGTGCAGTGGTGCAGTCTCAGCTGACTGCAACTTCCGCCTCCCAGGTTCAAGTGATTCTCGTGTCTCAGCCTCCCAAGTAGCTGGGATTACAGGCACATGCCACCATACCTGGCAAATTTTTGTATTTTTAAGTAGAGATGGGATTTCACCATGTTGGCCTGGCTAGTCTTGAACTCTTGACCTCAGGTGATCCTCCTGCCTCAGCTTCCCAAAGTGCTAGGATTACAGGCGTGAATCACTGCACTCAGCCAGGACTTTAAAGAAAATACAAATACCGTTGCTACAGCTAGAAAAAAATTAACAATGGTTCTTTAATATCACCAAATGTCTAGTCTGTGTCTAAACTTCCACTTGTTTCATTAAGTGTTTTATGTTATCTGTTGTTGCAATTACACAGCATAGCAAACATCCACAAAACTTCAGAGGCGTATAAGAATAGTCATGAAGTCTAGGGGTCAGCTGGGTGACCCAGTTGCTGTAAGCAGAGCTTGGAGTGACTCACTCATGTATCTGGTTACCTGCAGCTGGAGTAGATGATTTTATGATCTTGGTTGGTCTCTCTCCTACATCTCAGACTTCAACTGGACTGACTTGATTTTGTCCCACGTGTCTTTTCTTCAAGCAGGCAGTGTTGGGCATGTTTTCATGGTGAAGGCAGAAGAGAAAGAACAAAGTCCAATTGTACAAGAGGGCAGGAGAGAAAGAATGAGTGATTTTCAAGGCTCTGCTTGCCTCACCTTTGCTGACATCCCATTGGTCAAAGTTAGTCAGAGTGGGAGGTGACTACAAAGATGCTGGAAAGCTGGGTGAATTCAGGAAGACCACTCACTGGATCTATTAATGCAGTCGATCTACCACAAATGATGTAAATGATTTTCCTTTGCGTTTTGTTTTGAATCAGAATTCAAATAAACTCTACACATTGTGATTATTTGCTTTTTCTAGATTCCACCCTCATGTCTTTTTTCTTTGTATTTAATTTTTTTTAAAGATAATTTGACATTTCTAATAAACGTTGAGAAGGCCAATGTGGCTGGAATGTGATAATGAAGGACAGAGTGACAGGTGAAATTTGGAAGGTACAGGCTAATTCATTCAGTGTCTTGTGGATGGATCATGGGAAGGAGTTTAGGTTTTATTCTAAGAGCAGCTGGGAAGTCATGCTGGGTTTGGAGCTGGGGAATGTATGGTCTGATTTCTGTGTGTGTGTGTGTGTGTGTGTGTGTGTTTTTTTTTTTTTGGTAAATCTGAAGTAAGTTTACATGTAGTAAAATGCACAGATGAGTTTTGAGAAATGTGTATACTTATGTAACCACTACTTCAGTCAAGATATTGAACATTTCATCACGTTATAAAGTGCTTTCATGTCCCTTTGTAGTCAGCTGCTCCTCCCCACTGATGTGATTTTGAGGGTCGTCGTACAGCTACAACTATAAATTAGTTATGCCTGTTCCAGAACTTTATACCAATGGAATTATGGAATTATGTGAATATATTCTTTTGTTTCTGGTTACTTTTATTCACCGTAGTGTTTGTTACAATTCACCATCTTATTTCAGGCACTAGCAATTCTTTTTTTTTTTTTTTT